CCCTTAATTGATTTCTGGCCTTGTCTGATTACTATTTAGGTTTTTCTGCTTTTGAAAAGCCGCACCCCCTTATTTGAGGTGGCGCCGTCAACTTAGCAGTGCACGGTAGGGGAGCCGCAGGCTTATCCTTGGTGGAAGCTACCGGAGCCCAGCAAACTGACGCCGAGGTACCTGCGTGTACACGGTAGTGATGGCGGCGACATCTCAAAAGCGGGGGCGCGCGTATGCCATTTTCGTGATTTCTGAGGAGGAAATGGAGGAAAAAAAGAATGAAAAAGGAAAGAAAAAAAAAGAAGTGGAATTGGGGAGGAAAAGGGTTTCGAAATGATGATTATGATTATTAATGCCTGACTCTGGGTGTTCTTTTGTGTTTTTTTATCATTATTATTTTTTTGTTGTTTATTATTATTGTTATTATGATTGTTATTATCATTATTAATAATAATATTATTATTATTTTTTTTTCCAGGACCACAATGAAAAACATTTCTTTAAAATGATTGTGTCATCCTGGCTAAAGATATTAGTAAATAAATATCAAATAAAGCTCAGGAACAAGGTATAATTTTGCACAAGAGTTTTCGGCAATAGGTGTAAAGGATAAAATACAAGTACCGTACTCGCGCGAATATAAGCGCCCGAGCGCTTAAAATATTTTTACACTTTCTGAGGGGCGCTTATTCAAACGGTGCGCTTATTCGAACGGTGCGCTTATGAAAACAGAGTGGAAATTGAGGGGGCGCTTATGGAAATAAATGAAAATAGAGGGGTTCTTATGGGAAATTATTAAATTCAAGAGGCACTTTTTGAATGAAAAAAGATTATTTAAGGACATTACGAATGGTGGTTAGGCGGAAAGGATAATCGTCCAAAAAACATGGCTCATGACAAGAATGCGTGAATATTTACATAACAGCAAAATAGCAGATGCAATTAGTGGTGGTGGGTAGTGGTTAGCTTGTTGGACATCGGCCGATTGAGATTAGCAGGATGGCAGGATCATTGTATTTCTTGAAAAGTCCGATGAGAATGTGCTAAAGGTCGGAAAAAGAAAAAGAGGAGTAGGACAAGGCATAGACAAATATGTAAAAAGAGTAAAGTTGGGAATATAATGTCTGTCTAGAGATCGGAGTTCTCATCAGTCTAAGAGAAATATCCTTATTTTGATATTGACCTAAAAATGTATTTCCACTCTGCAACTTAAATCATGCCAACAACCCAGGATTGATTATATTATTGACTTGCTAAAAAGAAAATCATATATTATTGAGGAGGCGCTTATTCAAATTGGGCGCTTGAGGAAATTTTAACGTTAGGAGGGGCGCTTATTTAAACGGGGCGCTTATTCGCGCGAGTAAACAATATAAACATATATAACGGACGTAAGACAATCCAACATATGACGTGAAGCAACGCTTATGGAGAGATAATATAAAAAGTAATCAATCGCAGCTACCTATGCACACAAACTTTTTTGTAATAATTATAATTAAACAATCATCTCAGTTTATTTGTATCTATTTGTATAATGTATATATATATTATATATATTATATGTATAAATATATATATTATATGTATATATATATGTATGTATATATATATATATATATATATATACACATATATATATATATATATATATATATACATA